ATCCAGAGGCCGCCCTTCCGCTTCCCCAAGGGAGGGCACCTCCTGCAGTTCCTCTCATGCCTGGAGAATGGGCTGCTCCCCCACGGGCAGCTGGACCCACCACTCTGGTCTCAGCGCGGGAAGGTGAGTGAGTGTGGGGTGGAATGGGGAGCCCGGGGTGAGGGGGGTCTGCCGTGGGGCACGGTCGCCCCTGCCTGTGGGTCCTCATATGGCTGCTGGGCTCACGCATGCCTGCCAGGACCCTCAGGCTGTATAGGCTGGAAGGCAGGTGTGCCCAGGGGCCATGCGCCAGATGTGTTCTTTCAGGGCAAAGTATTTCCCAAACTGCGTAAGCGAAGCCCTCAGGGTTCCGCCGAGTCCACATCTTCAGACAAGGAAGATGACGAGGCCACGGATTACGTGTTCAGGATCATCTACCCTGGCATGCAGTCTGAATTCGGTAAGCTGCCCTGTTCCTGGGCCCTGTTCCTGGCAGCCTTAGTTTCCCTGCAAATGAGAAAACCACTGACTATTTAGCTAATAAAGATGCTGCTGGGTGGGAGGTGGTATAGAGTAGTGGCAGTGACATGGGCTCTGGAATCCTGGCTTCACCCCCTCTGTGCCTCAGTTTCCTTATCTGTAAAATGGGGATGTTCATAGAAAAATGAGATAAGGCACTTGGCATAGAACACTGAAATATTAGTTGCTATTATATTGTTGTTGTTATGACTTTTTTACTTCAATATATTGTTGTTAGGATTCATGAGATAATGAAGTGATCAATGTAAAGCCCATAGAAGAAGGCCTTGCACACAGTAGGTCCTCAATAAGTGATATTTAACAAGCAGAGGAGAAGCAAAGCACTAGACACTAGCCTGCAAGATGCTAACGTATGTCCAACAACAGGCATAGTCACTGCCATGAAATAGATGCTTAGTTAATTGAAACCATTGTTATTTAAGATTATCATCCCCATGGGATTATTAGAATTAAATGAGTCAATATTTGAAAAGTTCTCAGAAGGAGGCCTGGCATTGATGAAGTGCTGTATGGATTTCTGTTAAACAAATCAATAGCCAGTTATAGATTCTTTCTGTAAACTCCATTGTATTTAACCCTTGGTGGGTTCCATTTGATGGATAATGCCTCTGAGCCTCCCTTTGTGTAAGTGAGGTGGCCGGGCAGTGAGAGGCTCTTTTGCAAGCGGACCTGCTCCCTGGCAATTGGACTGATTGTGCCAGGT